GAGGTGATGGCGGCGGATGAATGGCACGACAATGGGCCTCAGGATCTCGTCACGGTATCTCTGTGCATTCAAATTGACATAGATAAAATGCAATGAATGTAATGAAGATGCCGTTTAATCATCTTCTTGATATGCCACACCTGTCAGGTGGATGGATTATCTTGGTAAAGGAGAAATGCTCACTAACAGGGATGTAAACAGATTTGTGCACCAAATTTGAGAGAAATAAGTTGGTTTCATTCAGCTAATGAAACCAACACTTTATATGTTGCATTTATATTTTTGTTCAGTGTAGATTCCATGTCACAATACTTGATTCAACCAGTTTGTGCCCAGGGGGACAGAGCTTTTCAGCCTGGCAAATCTCATGGTTGATTTACATTTACACCATATATTATTTTCCGGAGTGATTTACAGGAGTAATTAGGGTTAAATGCGTTGCTCAAGGGCACATCGACAGATTTTTCACCTAATCGGCTCAGGGATTTGAACCAGCAACCTTTTGGTTACTGGCCCAACACTCCTAACCGCTAGGCTACCTGCCGGCAGGTAGAACTGTTTACCTTGGATATAAACCTTTTTCTTATGCAGAACCAATAGTCCTGGAGGCTGTGCTCTGTGTGTTGACTACCTCAGTAGGAGAGAGGAAGAAACAGATGAGAACAATTTGAACAGGGTCTTCTTTCCACTGGCGAAGAGAGGGGATTGTTTTTGTCACTGCATCAGGGCCTGGGGCTTGTTCCATGGTCAGGGGGATGAGGTGCAACTGACACCTCAGCAGATAGGGACATCAGCCTGGCTCCAGAGCCACAGAGGAGGGGGTACCTGGGTAATGTGTTGTTGTGAAATAGGGTTGTCTCACCAGCAGCAGGCTAGAGAGCAGGCCGTCACATAATTTCAACCAGTGTTGTCAGCTGGGAAGGCCCATTAGATGAGAGCCATATCTGAATAACACTATAATGTGTTTAAGAAAAAATCCAGGGGCATTATGGGAGATAAAAGCATCTAGACTTCCATTAATGCCAGAGACAGAGGTTTTGCAAAATGGAGAGAAGATGGGATGAGATTTGTGAAAAACATAATGAATTACAGGAATTCTGCCTCCCCCTTGTGGGAATACAGTTGAACTGCCAGCTGATGATCACACATTGACAACATTAGCTATGCGTATCTCATGTTTTAGGGGCTTTAAGCCTTGAGTACCAAAAAAATTCCTGAGGGTTTACTCACAGGCTTACTGGCAATCTGCATCTATAAGAGGAACTGATCAAATGTTACTTTAGATCTCTGTGTATATGGTTTGATGTCCCTAAAACAGAAGTTTATCTTAATGTAGCTCAGTAGTCTCAGACTGTACTGAAGAGTCAAGGTTCTGACATGGTTACCGTCTCCTTGGCAGGACTGATACGGCAATTAATCATAATGTGTGGGGAAAGAATACCCATTTTAAAGCTTTCTATGGACAGTAAATTGTTCAGTCTAAAAGCTTTGTACTTGGGATTAATTGCTTGTAGAGTCAAGAAAAGTCATTTCAGATGCTGGAGTTGCGGTCTGTGGTCTTTGTAAATCCTTCAACGTCACTGGTCAAATGAGTTTCACTCTGGAGACAGTCAGCTCCTTAGACAATGGAAACAATGCACTGTGAGACGCTGACATTATTCATTAACTAGTAGAACATGTCACACACAAACTCCCATCTTCCTCACATGCAGGTTGCTACAGTAGCTATTCTTCATTCACGGTTGTAAACTGTAATGTTCCACTCAAGAAACAAATTCCAAGTTGTAATTTATTGGGTTTTATTTCACCAAAATTCTGCATAACTACATTCAACTGCATTCTTGATGACATGATTCAAATTGCTGTGCCTTCAGAAACCTCCGGGGCCTATCATCACATTTCGTCTCTGAGAAATGCATCTGTTAAAAGAAGCATCAACAGTACATCAACTTGTGTGTCAACTCTTTCATTATGTTCCTTTTGACTGTTCAAATCAATCATATTTTCCCTTCATTAGCTTCAAATATGGTTAACTGAACATACCAATGATATTAGTTTCAACAAATGGGAGTGCCTTTTGTCTTTTAGCGATACAAGTTATATTGACCATGATTGTAAATATCAATCAGATTGTTTGTGCTTGATAAAGGCCAAGATGTTCAACTCATAGGCTACATTTTAATTCCTTTTCAAGTCTCATCAACCTTGTTTAGTGAAACTTTACTATGACTAAATCTAGTAGAGGAAGAATGTCTTACCAATGTGTGTGTAGAGCAGAAATAAGTTGACATTTTATGTAGTATTACAGAGCAAATCAGACAGATTCTCAAAATGTCTTTGCATTTGGGCCTTTTACATTTTGTATCATATTTCCTTACGCTTAAAAGTAAAAATAATTGTTTCATAATTTTGTAGAAAAATAGTAAAATAAATGTGTTTGAACTAGGTAAAAACAGTTGGTATCCATTTGAAGACACCTACCCAGTCAAACTAATGGACTAGAAACTGACTATGGATTTGCATTTTTTTATCATTTTGAGCATGACCCATATAATTTGTTAAAAAGCGGTTATTCTAATATTTGAAATATTAATATTGCATGCTTAACAAAGTATTTGCATTGATACTGCAGTTTTGTACGGTCAGGAACTCAGGATATCTGAGAAAGTGCTCTGTTCGTCTAATATCAGACTAAACTAATATCCTACCTACATTGTGATAGATCAAACTGTATTTTCTATTTTATCACATTAGACCTGATTCGGTCATCATTTCTAAATGTAAATGCTTTTCCAATGCTATGTCAATATTAGATATTCAATATCACAGTAATACAAATCACATCTGGTAACATGTCTTGGTGGTTGTTGATCTACACTAACCTGCAGTGATTAACTCAACTAGTAGCATGTACATGGTAAAGAGCCCTAGCCATCACATTTTCCTTGTTTTGAAATCCAGGCAATTCAGTAAATACTAGTAAAACATAGCATTATCCATCATTTTGCTTATGTTATGACCCAGTGAGTATTTTTGTATATGCATATACCAGCATATGTACTTACATTAATTAATACTTTAGAAATGTGGTCATGTTTTACACTAGGTGATCCTGGTAGATGGTACCCTTGACATATTAGAAAATAGGATTCAAAACAATCTGACCATCCATATTCGAAATGCAGTAAAGCAAGTCAACATGTCTCAAGAAAATGGTGTCAAAATATAGACAGAAAATCTCTCTCTCTCACTGCTTGCATAAGTCTCTTCAATAATTCATGTTATCATGTTACATAATACATGTAATAAATACTCCTGTGGCCCATCCAACACATCTGATTATTACCCCTCTGTCCAGTGAATGGATATGACCCAATATAAGTCAGAATCTCCAAATACAAATACATAACACTTGCAAGTAAAGAACCATTTTAAGATCATTTATGTGCTGCAATATACAACACTATTCAGCTTTTCATAATCCTGGTTAGTATACAAACCTCATAAACATACAGTTGAAGTCGGAAGTTTACATACACCTTAGCCAAATACATTTAAACTCAGTTTTTCACAATTCCTGATATTTAATCCTAGTAAAAATTCCCTGTCTTAGGTCAGTTAGGATCACCACTTTTAAGAATGTGAAATGTCAGAATAATAGTAGAGAGAATGATTTATTTCAGCTTTTATTTCTTTCATCACATTCCCAGTGGGTCAGAAGTTTACATACACTCAATTAGTATTTGGTAGCATTGCCTTTAAATTGTTTAACTTGGGTCAAACGTTTCGGGTAGCCTTCCACAAGCTTCCCACAATAAGTGGGGTGAATTTTGGCCCATTCCTCCTGACAGAGCTTGTGTAACTGAGTCAGGTTTGTAGGCCTCCTTGCTCGCACACGCTTTTTCAGTTCTGCCCACACATTTTCTATAGGATTGAGGTCAGGGCTTTGTGATGGCCACTCCAATATCTTGACTTTGTTGTCCTTAAGCCATTTAGCCACAACTTTGGAAGTATGCTTGGGGTCATTGTCCATTTGGAAGACCCATTTGCGACCAAGCTTTAACTTCCTGGCTGATGTCTTGAGATGTTGCGTCAATATATCCACATAATTTTCCTTCCTTTTGATGCCATCTATTTTGTGAAGTGCACCAGTCCCTCCTGCAGCAAAGCACCCCCACAGCATGATGCTGCCACCCCCGTGCTTCACGGTTGGGATGGTGTTCTTCGGCTTGCAAGCATTCCCCTTTTTCCTCCAAACATAACAATGGTCATTATGGCTAAACAGTTCTATTTTTGTTTCATCAGACCAGAGGACATTTCTCCAAAAAGTACGATCTTTGTCCCCATGTGCAGTTGCAAACCGTAGTCTGGCTTTTTTATGGCGGTTTTGGAGCGGTGGCTTCTTCCTTGCTGAGCGGCCTTTCAGGTTATGTCGATATAGGACTCGATTTACTGTGGATATAGATACTTTTGTACCTGTTTCCTCCAGCATCTTCATAAGGTCCTTTGCTGTTGTTCTGGGATTGATTTGCAATTTTCGCACCAAAGTACGTTCATCTCTAGGAGACAGAACGCGTCTCCTTCCTGAGCGGTATGACGGCTGCGTGGTCCCATGGTGTTTATACTTGCGTACTATTGTTTGTACAGATGAATGTGGTACCTTCAGGTGTTTGGAAATTGCTCCCAATGATGAACCAGACTTGTGGAGGTCTACACATTTTTATCTGAGGTCTTGGCTGATTTCTTTTGATTTTCCCATGATGTCAAGCAAAGAGGCACTGAGTTTGAAGGTAGGCCTTGAAATACATCCACAGGTACACCTCCAATTGACTCAAATGATGTCAATTAGCCTATCATTAGCTTCTAAAGCCATGAATTTTCCAAGCTGTTTAAAGGCACAGTCAACTTAGTGTATGTAAACTTCTGACCCACTGGAATTGTGATACAGTGAATTATAAGTGAAATAATCATGTCTGTAAACAATTGTTGGAAAAATTACTTGTGTCATGAACAAAGTAGATGTCCTAACCGACTTGCCAAAACTATAGTTTGTTAACAAGAAATTTGTGGTGTGGTTGAAAAACTAGTTTTAATGACTCCAACCTAAGTGTATGTAAACTTCCAACTTCAACTGTATAAATGACAGAACAGGTGACCGTTGTTTTTTACTGTAATCTGATGGGTTAAAGGTCATGGGTACATTTAAAAAATACAGAATGACAATGCCACTCACACCAAAGCTTTTCTTGCACAACTTTTTTGCCTTAAATTAAGGTGAGCGCACAAGATACACTCACTAGATGTTTTACTCATTAAAAATAAGAAGTAAAGCACGAAAGTAAATGACAAAGCACACAAATATCCAAAAACAAACAGCTCAAGACAAGAGTTAGAATTTTTTTTGTTGTTGTAATTTTAAAAAATACACATAAACCATCAGTAGTAGGTAAAACTCTTCTTTCCAATAAAGAATTTGGATCATCAAAAAGCACAGTTAGTCCAGCTTTTCCAGCTCTGTCGTTGGATGGTGTGGACCAGGGCAGAGGCTATATGTGGTATTACCATGGGGGATGCTGCTGCTGTACTCTAGTCTAGGCAATCCTCCGCTGACTGGTGGCAGTTGACATGGAGGCTGTGAGGCCTGGGTGACCTGGGGCTCAGAGACCAGAGAGGGCCTGGTTGGGCTGAGGAGGCAGGCCAGAGGCCAGCAGGGGCAAGGGCCAGGGGTGACAGCGAGGGCGGGGTGCTCTAGTCCAGGGGTACTCAGTTTGAGGGAGGGAGGCCCTACTGCCCAACCGATAGGACACCTGGAAGACAAAGAGAACGAAATGGAACGAAAGGAAATGAGCCACAAAAACCCAAGTCATTGATCGGAAAATGCCGTGTTGTGTTAGTGTGTGCCGTGCCCACCAAGATATATGCTGTTTCCACTCAGTGCCAGAGGTCAGGAAATCTCAACAAATGGTTTCTAAATGACACGGGTTCTGAAAAGAAAAGAGACTGATTTAAACAGGGACTGATAGTGAGAAATCCAGATCAAACAATCTGCGTTATACAGGCTAAATATATACGAGGACATTGTTCTGGTTCAGATACTAACAGTATTTACAGTATCATTCCACTGGTGTGGGATGTCCTCAGGTTCTGGTGGGTAGGACATCCAGGATGGGCTTCCGTACGACGATGGTGGAGACATGACAAAGTAGTCAGAGTAACCAGGGTGGTTGGCTGATATGGCGTAGACTGCTGTCATTGGGTTTCCTGTAGAGATGAGCAGTGTGTTTAGCCAATCAGAGGCTTGAATGAGTGAACTGAATCAATTTGACAGAGAAAACCATACTCTTTAAAGTTATACATTATATATGGATATACAGTGCATTCGGAAAGTATTCAGACCCCTTGACATTTTGTTACGTTACAGCCTTATTCTAAAATGGAATATATATTTTTTTATTCTCATCAATCTACACACAATACCCAATAATGACAAGCAAAAACAGGTTTAATTTTTTTTTGGCAAATTTATACAAAAGAAAAAACAGAAATATTACATTTACATAACTGTTCAGACCCTCTAAGTTATAGAAACATCTGAAGGATGATCAATGGAAACAGGATGTACCGGAGCTCAATATCGAGTCTCATAGCAAAGGGTCTGAATACTTATGTAAATCAGGTATTTCTGTTTTTTATTTTTAATACATTTGCAAAAATGTCTAAACCTGTTTTTGCTTTGTCATTATGGGGTATTCTGTGTAGATTGATGAGGAAAAATATTAATTTAATTAATTTTAGAATAAGACTAACGTAACAAAATTTGGAAAAAGTCAAGGGGTCTGAATACTTTCCGAATGCACTGTATATACACACACACACACACACACACACACACACACACACACACACACACACACACACACACACATAATCCAGTTTCCGAGCTGGTCATGGGTGCACCTCAGCCACGCTCAAGGTCCTAAACGATATTATAACCACGATCGATAATAGACAGTACTGTGCAGCCGTCTTCATCGACCTGGCCAAGGCTTTCGACTCTGTCAACCACCGCATTCTTATTGGCAGACTAAATAGCCTTGGTTTCTCAAATGACTGCCTCGCCTGGTTCACCAACTACTTCTCAGATAGAGTTCAATGTGTCAAATCGGAGGGCCTGTTGTCTGGACCTATGGCAGTCTCTATGGGGGTGCCACAGGGTTCAATTCTTGGGCCGACTATTTTCTCTGTGTATATCAATGATGTCGCTCTTGCTGCTGGTGATTCTCAGATCCACCTCTATGCAGACGACACCATTTTGTATACATCTGGCCCTTTATTGGACACTGTGTTAACAAACCTCCAAACGAGCTTCAATGCCATACAACACTCCTTTCGTAGCCTCCAACTGCTCTTAAACACAAGTAAAACTAAATGCATGCTCTTCAATCGAACGCTGCTGGCACCCGCCCACCCGACTAGAATCACTACTCTCGACGGGTGTGACCTAGAGTATGTGGACAACTACAAATACCTAGGTGTCTGGTTAGACTGTAAACTCTCCTTCCAGACTCACATTAAGCATCTCCAATCCAAAGTTAAATCCAGAATTGGCTTCCTATTTCGCAACAAAGCCTCCTTCACTCATGCTGCCAAACATGCCCTCGTAAAACTGACTATCCTACCGATCCTTGACTTCGGCGATGTCATTTACAAAATAGCCTCCAACACTCTACTCAGCAAATTGGATGTAGTCTATCACAGTGCCATCCGTTTTGTCACCAAAGCCCCATATACTACCCACCACTGTGACCTGTACGCTCTTGTTGGCTGGTCCTCACTACATATTCGTCGCCAAACCCACTGGCTCCAGTCCATCTACAAATCACTGCTAGGCAATTCTCCGCCTTATCTTAGCTCATTGGTCACCATAGCAACACCCACCCGTAGTATGCGCTCCAGCAGGTATATCTCACTGGTCATCCCCAAAGCCAACACCTCCTTTGGCCGCCATTCCTTCCAGTTCTCTGCTGCCAATGACTGGAACGAACTGCAAAAATCTCTGAAGCTGGAGACTCTTATCTCCCTCACTAACTTTAAGCATCAGTTGTCAGAGCACCTTACCGATCACTGCACCTGTACAGAGCCCATCTGAAATTAGCCCACCCAACTACCTCATCCCCATATTGTTATTTATTTTGCTCATTTGCACCCCAGTATCTCTATTTGCAAATCATCTCTTGCAAATCTATCATTCCAGTGTTAATACTAATTGTAATTATTTTGCACTATGGCCTATTTATTGCCTTACCTCCATAACTTGCTACATTTGCACACTCTATATATATTTTCAATTTTCTGTTGTATTTTTGACTTTATGTTTTGTTTTACCCCATATGTAACTCTGTGTTGTTGTTTTTATCACACTGCTTTGCTTTATCTTGGCCAGGTCGCAGTTGTAAATGAGAACTTGTTCTCAACTGGCTTACCTGGTTAAATAAAGGTGAAATAAAAAATAAAAATACACACACACATATAGTTCCAGTCAAAAGTTTGGACACACCTACACATTCCAGGGTTTTTATTTATTTTGACTATTTTCTACATAGTAGAATAATAGTGAAGACATCACATCTATGAAATAACACATATGGAATCATGTATTGGGCGGCAGGTAGCTTAGTGGTTAAGAGCGTTGTGTCAGTAACCGAAAGGTCGCTGGTTCTAATCCCTGAGCCGACTAGGTGAAAAATCTGTCGATGTGCCCTTGAGCAAGGCACTTAACCCTAATTGCTCCTGTAAGAGCGTCTGCTAAATGACTAAAATGTAAATGTAAATGTATTAACCAAAAAAGTGTTAAACAAATCAAAATATATTTTATATTTGAGTTTTCTTCAAATAACCACCCTTTGCCTTGATGACAGCTTTGCACACTCTTGGCATTCTCTCAACCAGCTTCATGAGGTAGTCACCTGGAATGCATTTCAATTAACAGGTGTGCCTTGTTTAAAGTTAACTTGTGGAATTTCTTTCCTTTTAATGCTTTTGAGACAATCAGTTGTGTTGTGACAAGGTATAGGTGATATACAGAAGATAGCCCCATTTGGTAAAAGACCAAGTCCATATTATGGCAAGAACAGCTCAAATATGCAAAGAGAAACTGACAGTCCATCATTACTTTAAGACATGAAAGTCAGTCAATACGGAACATTTCAAGAACTTTGAAAGTTTCTTCAAGTGTAGTCGCACAAACCATCAAGCGCTATGATGAAACTGTCTCTCATGAGGACCGCCACAGGAAAGGAAGACCTCTGCTGCAGAGGATAAGTTCATTAGAGTTAACTGCACCTCAGATTGCAGCCCAAATAAATGCTTCACAGAGTTCAAGTAACAGACATATCTCAACGTCAAATGTTCAGAGGAGACTGCGTGAATCAGGCCTTCATGGTTGAATTGCTGCAAAGAAACCACTACTAAAGGACACCAAAAAGAAGAAGAGACTTGCTTGGGCCAGATTTTTTTGGTTCCAACCGCCGTGTCTTTGTGAGACGCAGAGTAGGTGAACGGATGATCTCTGCATGTGTGGTTCCCACCGTGAAGCACGGAGGAGAAGGTGTGATGGTGCTTTGCTGGTGACACTGACTGTGATTTATTTAGAATTCAAGGCACACTTAACCAGCATGGCTACCACAGCATTCTGCAGCGATACACCATCCCATTTGGTTTGCGCTTAGTGGGACTATCATTTGTTTTTCAACAGGACAATGACCCAACACACCTCCAGGCTGTGTAAGGGCTATTTGACCAAGATGGAGAGTGATGGAGTGCTGCATCAGATGACCTGGCCTCCACGATCACCCGAACTCAACCCAATTGAGATGGTTTGGGATGAGTTGGACCGCAGAGTGAAGGAAAAGCAGCCAACAAGTGCTCAGCATATGTGGGCACTCCTTCAAGACTGTTGGAAAAGCATTCCTCATGAAGCTGGTTGAGAGAATGCTAAGAGTGTGCAAAGCTGTCATCAAGGCAAAGGGTGGCTACTTTGAAGAATCTAACTTTTCTGGTTACTAAATGATTCCATATGTGTTATTTCATAGTTTTGATGTCTTCATCTATTCTACACTGTAGAAAATAGTTTAAAAAATAAGAAAAACCCTGGAATGAGTAGGTATGTACAAACTTTTGACTGGTACTGTATATACAGTGTATTCAGAAAGTATTCAGACCCCTTGTCTTTTTCCACACACACACGTGTGTACATATATACAGTGGGGAGAACAAGTATTTGATACACTGCCGATTTTGCAGGTTTTCCTACTTACAAAGCATGTAGAGGTCTGTAATTTTTATCATAGGTACACTTCAACTGTGAGAGACGGAATCTAAAACAAAAATCCAGAAAATCACATTGTATGATTTTTAAGTAATTAATTTGCATTTTATTGCATGACATAAGTATTTGATACATCAGAAATGCAGAACTTAATATTTGGTACAGAAACCTTTGTTTGCAATTACAGAGATCATACGTTTCCTGTAGGTCTTGACCAGGTTTGCACACACTGCAGCAGGGATTTTGGCCCACTCCTCCATACAGACCTTCTCCAGATCCTTCAGGTTTCGGGGCTGTCACTGGGCAATACGGACTTTCAGCTCCCTCCAAAGATTTTCTATTGGGTTCAGGTCTGGAAACTGGCTAGGCCACTCCAGGACCTTGAGATGCTTCTTACGGAGCCACTCCTTAGTTGCCCTGGCTGTGTGTTTCGGGTCGTTGTCATGCTGGAAGACCCAGCCACGACCCATCTTCAATGCTCTTACTGAGGGAAGGAGGTTGTTGGCCAAGATCTCGCGATACATGGCCCCATCCATCCTCCCCTCAATACGGTGCAGTCGTCCTGTCACCTTTGCAGAAAAGCATCCCCAAAGAATGATGTTTCCACCTCCATGCTTCACGGTTGGGATGGTGTTCTTGGGGTTGTACTCATCCTTCTTCTTCCTCCAAACACGGCGAGTGGAGTTTAGACCAAAAAGCTATATTTTTGTCTCATCAGACCACATGACCTTCTCCCATTCCTCCTCTGGATCATCTAGATGGTCATTGGCAAACTTCAGATGGGCCTGGACATGCGCTGGCTTGAGCAGGTGGACCTTGCGTGCGTTGCAGGATTTTAATCCATGACGGCGTAGTGTGTTACTAATGGTTTTCTTTGAGACTGTGGTCCCAGCTCTCTTTAGGTCATTGACCAGGTCCTGCCGTGTAGTTCTGTGCTGATCCCTCACCTTCCTCATGATCATTGATGCCCCACGAGGTGAGATCTTGCATGGAGCCCCAGACCGAGGGTGATTGACCGTCATCTTGAACTTCTTCCATTTTCTAATAATTGCGCCAACAGTTGTTGCCTTCTCACCAAGCTGCTTGCCTATTGTCCTGTAGCCCATCCCAGCCTTGTGCAGGTCTAAAAAAAATTCCCTGATGTCCTTACACAGCTCTCTGGCCTTGGCCATTGTGGAGAGGTTGGAGTCTGTTTGATTGAGTGTGTGGACAGGTGTCTTTTATACAGGTAACGAGTTCAAACAGGTGCAGTTAATACAGGTAATGAGTGGAGAACAGGAGGGCTTCTTATTAAAGAAAAACTAACAGGTCAGTGAGAGCCGGAATTCTTACTGGTTGGTAGGTGATCAAATACTTATGTCATGCAATACAATGCAAATTAATTACTTAAAATTCATACAATGTGATTTTCTGGATGTTTGTTTTAGATTCCATCTCTCACAGTTGAAGTGTACCTATGATAAAAAGTACAGACCTCTACATGCTTTGTAAGTAGGAAAATCTGCAAAATCGGCAGTGTATCAAATACTTGTTCTCCCCACTGTATGTATTTACATTTGTATCTATATTTACTAGTCCATATCTGAATAATTATACAATATTTAATATTTTGACCTGAGTAGCTGGTCATGGACTGGTCAACAGTAACAGCAGGGAAGGGCGCTCTGTTGATAGGCAGGTAGGTGGCGCCATTGTGCTGATTCTGCATCTCAGAGGCCTCAGAAACACGAGGTTTCAGGCTGATGTCCGGTGTAGAACTGCAGAAGGGGGGACAAAGACAAAAGCCTTGTAATTCATGTCTCACCGATAATAATAATAATAATAATAATAATAATAATAATGTATTGATCAAAGGGCTTTCAAAAGGGCCCATCCCTGTTTTAAATGATGCAGAATAAAGGTAGAGTAGAAATACAACACAACACATAAGCAGTATTACATTAAAGCCACATGTTAAGAAGTACAAAGCAATTAGGGTGGGAAACGCTAAAAGGATACAGTACACTAGTTACAAGTAGACCTTCAAAAAATCTATACTGAACAAAAATATAAACGCAACATGTAAAGTGTTGGTCCCATGTTTCATGAGCTGAAATTGAAGATCCCAGTAATTTTCCATACGCACAAAAAGCTTATTTGTCTCAAATTTGTTGCACAAATGTATTTACATCCCTATTAGTGTGCATTTATCCTTTGCCAAGATAATCCATCCACCTGACAGGTGTGACATATCAAGAAGCTGATTAAACAGCATGATCATTACACAGGTGCACCTTGCACTGAGGACAATAAAAGGCCACTCTAAAATGTGCAGTTTTGTCACACAACACAATGCCACAGATGTCTCAAGTTTTGAGGGAACGTGCAATTGGCATGCTGACTGCAAGAATGTCCACCACAGCTGTTGCCAGATAATTTTATGTTAATTTCTCTACCATAAGCCGCCTCCAACGTCGTTTTAGAGAATTTGGCAGTACGTCCAACTGGCCTAACAACCGCAGAACACGTGTAACCACGCCAGCCCAGGACCTCCACATCCGGCTTCTTCACCTGCGAGATCATCTGACACCAGCCACCCGGACTGCTGATGAAACTGTGGGTTTGCGTAACCAAAGTTTCTGACAGTTTGTGCAGAAATTCTATCTCAGGGAAGCTGACTGCAGTTCGGCGTCGTAGCCGAATTCAGTGGGCAAATGCTCACCTTCGATAGCCACTGGCACGCTGGAGAAGTGTGCTCTTCACTGGTGAATCCCGGTTTCAACTGTTCCAGGCAGATGGCAGACGCATGTATGGCGTCATGTGGGCGAGCGGTTTGCTGATATCAACCTTTTGAACAGAGTGCCCCATGGTGGCAGTGGGGTTATGGTATGGGCAGGCATAAGCTATGGACAACAAACACAATTGCATTTCATCTATGGCAATTTGAATGCACAAAGATACCGTGACAAGATCCTGAGGCCCATTGTCGTGCCATTCATCCGCCGCCATCACCTCATGTTTCAGCATGATAATGCACAGCCCCACGTCACAAGGATCTGTACACAATTCCTTGAAGCTGAAAATGTCCCAGTTCTTCCATGGCCTGCATACTCACCAGACATGTCACTCATTGAGCATGTTTGGGATGCGCTGGATCGACGTGTACAACAGCGTGTTCCAGTTCCCGAAATATCCAGCAACTTTGCACAGCCATTGAAGAGGAGTGGGACATCATTCCACAGGCCACAATCAACAGATCAACTCTATGCGAATGAGATGTGTTGTGCTGCATGAGGCAAATTGTGGTCACACCAGATACTGACTGGTTTTCTGATACACTGCCCTACTTTTTTAAGATATCTGTGACCAACAGATGCATATCTGTATTCCCAGTCATGTGAAATCCATAGATTAGGGCCTAATGAATTTATTTCAATTGACTGATTTCCTTATATGAACTGTAACTCAGTAAAATCTTTGAAATTGTTGCATGTTGCGTTTAGATTTTTGTTCAGCGTAGTAGGTTGAGCATGTTTAGCATTGTGTGGATGTGACTATATTGGAATGAATGTTATTTGCATCCGTTTACTGTCTTTCTGACAGCTTGAAGGGAGGAGGAGGGCGCTTCGTACCGCCTCATTGAGGTCCCGGAAGGGGGTCCGGGTCTGGAGGGGATCAGAGTGGGTGGAGGTCCAACGCCCATGTCTGGAAGCTGAGTGAACCTGAAGCCCTGCACCACCAAACACAACACACAGACAACATGGTTAAATCAGTGTGTGGGTGTCCTGTACAGCTACTATCTCGCCACATGTATTATGTTGATTTTCTACAATAGCATTCAGGATTTTTGTTTAAAACACCACCGTAAACATACAGAAATAAATAAATAAATCATTTGCTTTATTGCACGGTCTAATCAATGCACTCACAGGCTTGGGTAAGCTACACTGGTGCATTTCCGGCCCGTAGGGAGAACCACGCTGACGGCCTCCTCCACATGGGTGGTTCATGGTGCCAGGGGCACTGGTCACCCCCTCGGAGTAAGGGCTGGTGTGGCTGGGGTTGTAGGAACTGTGGAGGTGGGGGTGAAGGTGGGGGTGGTGGTGGTGGTTGGCGGGCGGGGCCTCGTCTGGGGCCAGCCCAAAGGCATTACCCAGCAGGAGCTGCATCTGCTGACGGACCTCGCCGATGGAAGGCTGAGAGCTCAGAGTGGACGAGTCTGAGAGACCCTTGACCTGATGGCTTCCACCATAACCCAAGGAGCTCATCAGTCGGTCCACGTTGGTCTCCTCAAACGGCTCCACCTGACACACAGGAAGACGGACACACACACACAAACACACACACACACACAGGGTTATCCATTTGCAATTTAAAAGCTTAGCACATTCAGAGCTACACTGAACACAACTATTAACGCAACATGTAAAGTGTTGGTCCCATGAGCTGAAATAAAAAATCCCAGACATTTTACAAATTTGTTTACATCCATGTTAGTGAGCGTTTCTCCTTTGCCAAGATAATCCATCCACCTGACAGGTGTGGCATATCAAGAAGCTGATTAAACAGCATGATCATTACACAGGTGCACCTTGTGCTGGGGACAATAAAAGGCCACTTTAAAATGTGCAGTTGTGTCACACAACAGAATGCCACAGATGTCTCAAGTTTTGAGGGAGCGTGCAATTGGCATGCTGACTGCAGGAAATGCTGAGGAGTATTTCTGTCTGTAATAAAGCCCTTTTGTGGGGAAAAACTCATTCTGAATGGCTGGGCCTGGCTCCCCAGTGGGTGGGCCTGACTGCCTATGCCCTCCCAGGCCCACCTATTGCTGCACCCCTGCTCAGTCATGTGAAATCCATAGATTAGGGCCTAATTTATTTATTTAAATTGACTGATTTCCTTATTTTACTGTAACTCAGTAAAATCTTTGAAATTGTTGCATGTTGCGGATATATTTTTGTTCAGTATATTAACTGGTATCGAATTTCGCATCTGAATCACTGAACAGGCTATAATCATATTCACGGTCACTGACATTCAGCAATGTAGTGCCTGTGCAGGCAGCATAAAATGATAGCTCTAAGAACGAGCTCCATCGCTGTGCTAGATGGTGGTTTTAAAGTTTGGATGAAGGTAATCCTCTTTATTTGAGCCATAGAGCTTAGAATAAGGATTGGGAGAGATAGGCATAATGGGGCAAGCTTTGTTCTAGGGTTTTCTCTAGGTTATTGCACCCCAGTATCAGAACTTATCTAGGCTCAACCCCTTTTGCCCCTGCAGTGACTCCAGTAGTATGGTGTTCATTTTAGGACATTCACCCTGCAGTGACTCCAGTAGTATGGTGTTCATTTTAGGACATTCACCCTGCAGTGACTCCAGTAGTATGGTGTTCATTTTAGGACATTCACCCTGCAGTGACTCCAGTAGTATGGTGTTCATTTTAGGACATTCACCCTGCAGTGACTCCAGTAGTATGGTGTTCATTTTAGGACATTCACACTGCAGTGACTTCCGCAGTACAGTGTACATTTCAGGACAGGGAATGCGTAACTCCAGTCCTCGGTGGCCTGATTGGTGTCACACTTTCTCCCAAGCCCCAGCTAACACAACTGACTCCAATAATCAATTAATCATGATCTTTAGTTTAGAATGCAATTCGTTTACTCAGTTGTGTTTGCTAGGGATGGGGAAAAAGTGTGTCACCACTCCGGCCCGCAAGGACTGGAATTGCCCATGCCTGTTTTACATCTCATGGATGTCTTAAAATGGACACTGTACAGCAGTGATATTCAGTGAGGACTCACGTCATAGCCGCTGTTGCGGATGCCTCTTCTGGACCTCTCCCTCAGAACCAGCAGGTCCATCTCTGTCTCCAGGGGGCTAGGGCTGCTGGTGGCCAGAGACTGACGGCTCCAGTAGGCTGGCTCTCTGGATGGGGGGTGCCTGAAGTAAGGATATCATAGTCGCCATTGTCATTATCATTGGCATCATAATCATCATCACAGGTTTGCACCATCACAGGAATATTTCAGACATTTCAAATATGTATTTCAAATCAAATCAAAGTTTATTGGTCATGTACACAGATTTGCAGATGTTATCGCATGTGCAGCGAAATGATTATGTTTCTAGCTCTAACAGTGCAGTAATACTTGCCAATAAAAATAAACAATACACATCATCCAGAAAAATACTAAAATAAGTTATGTAGGATGAGCCCTGACTAGAATACAGTATATACAGTATCTCACAAAAGTGAGTACACCCCTCACATCTTTGTAAATATTTGAGTATATCTTTTCATGTGACAACATTGAAGAAATGACACTTTGCTACAATGTAAAGTAGTGAGTGTACAGCTTGTATAACAGTGTAAATTTGCTGTCCCCTCAAAATAACTCAACACACAGCCATTAATGTCTAAACCGCTGGCAACAAAAGCGAGTACACCCCTAAGAGAAAATGTACAAATTGGGCCCAATTAGCCATTTTCCCTCCCCGGTGTCATGTGACTCGTTAGTGTTACAAGGTCTCAGGTGTGAATGGGGAGCAGGTGTGTTAAATTTGGTGTCATCGCTCTCACACTCCCTCATACTGGTCACTGGAAGTTCAAAATGGCACCTCATGGCAAAGAACTCTCTGAGGATCTGAAAAAAATAATTGTTGCTCTACATAAAGATGGCCTGGGCTATAAAAAGATTGCCAAGACCCTGAAACTGAGTTGCAGCACAGTGGCCAAGACCATACAGCGGTTTAACAGGACAGGTTCCACTCAGAACAGGCCTCGCCATGGTCGACCAAAGAAGTTGAGTGCACGTGCTCAGCGTCATATCCAGAGGTTGTCTTTGGGAAATAGACGTATGAGTGCTGCCAGCATTGCTGCAGAGGTTGAAGGGGTGGGGGTGGGGGGTCAGCCTGTCAGTGCTCAGACCATACGCCGCACACTGCATCAAATTGGTCTGCATGGCTGTCGTCCCAGAAGGAAGCCTCTTCTAAAGATGATGCAAAAGAAAGCCCGCAAACAGTTTGCTGAAAACAAGCAGACTAAGGACATGGATTACTGGAACCATGTCCTGTGGTCTGATGAGACCAAGATAAACGTATTTGGTTCAGATGGTGTCAAGCGTGTGTGGCGGCAACCAGGTGAGGAGTACAAAGACAAGTGTGTCTTGCCTACTGTCAAGCATGGTGGTGGGAGTGTCATGGTCTGGGGCTGCATGAGTGCTGCCGGCACTGGGGAGCTACAGTTCATTGAGGGAACCATGAATGCCAACATGTACTGTGACATACTGAAGCAGAGCATGATCCCCTCCCTTCGGAGACTGGGCCGCAGGGCAGTATTCCAACATGATAACGACCCCAAACACACCTCCAAGACGACCACTGCCTTGCTAAAGAAGCTGAGGGTAAAGGTGATGGACTGGCCAAGCATGTCTCCAGACCTAAACCCTATTGAGCATCTGTGGGGCATCCTCAAACGGAAGGTGGAGGAGTGCAAGGTCTCTAACATCCACCAGCTCCGTGATGTCGTCATGGAGGAGTGGAAGAGGACTCCAGTGGCAACCTGTGAAGCTCTGGTGAACTCCATGCCCAAGAGGGTTAAGGCAATGCTGGAAAATGATGGTGGCCACACAAAATATTGACACTTTGGGCCCAATTTGGACATTTTCACTTAGGGGTGTACTCACTTTTGTTGCCAGCGGTTTAGACATTAATGGCTGTGTGTTGTGTTATTTTGAGGGGACAGCAAATTTACACTGTTATACAAGCTGTACACTCACTACTTTACATTGTAGAAAAGTCTCATTTCTTCAGTGTAGTCACATGAAAAGATATACTCAAATATTTACAAAAATGTGAGGGGTGTACTCACTTTTGTGAGATACTGTACATATAAAGTGGGTGAAACAGTATGGAAACATTATTAAAGTGACCAGTGTTCATTACATAAGTTGTTGTTAGATGATTGCAAACAAACTTGCCGCTTGGCGTCACCCTGCAAGAGATTTTGTCACATTAACAATGTACAGGTGCTGCAGCACAGGCATTCTGAAAAGTAACTTTTGAACCAGCGGATCTGTTTACACTGAACACCCACTCAAACATGAAATGAACGCTTCCTGTATACTGTAGCATACTGTATGTCTCTTGGCATATTACATAATGTGGATGCAAAAATAGAAATGTCTCTGCTCTCCCACCTCCTGATGTGGCATCCTGCATAGGAGGCCCTCTTCTCCTCAGCAGTCATTGGCTCCTTGGCATTCTCATGCCTGCTGTGCCTCTCTCTGGGGTTGAATGGGTGGATGCCATTGTCTGTGACGGGGAAATCACAGTAGGCTTTTCTATTGGCTTTCTGGCGTTGTTTGTTCCTGTAGTGTTCGATGTCGGACTTCTGCTTGAGCCCCACGTTTGCCTGTGGACGAAGTCATTTGTATTTCATTAGTATTGATTCTAGTTTGACTTTACTTGGTATTAGAAGTAAACTTGTTCAGGTTTCTACTGAGGTCCCTCTCCTCTATAAAGAAACAATCAGTTCCAAATCCTTTCCTACTTCCCATTGGCCCTAACCCTTTGATGTCTGCAGCAATATAGTTCCACTTCTACACTGCTTTTACTGTACATATCCAGAACGTTCATCTTTAGAATCTTCATCTGGCAGACTCAATATGACATAATTCCCAGCAGGCCGGGGGTGGTGTCTCACCTCCCCATTGAGGACGACTGAGTCCTGGCTGTGATTGGAGGAGGATGGGTAGGAGTATGTGGGCTGGGCCGCCATTGGCTTGATGGTGATGAGTCGCAGTGAGCCAGTGTGGTCCTCATAGGGATCTGCTGGGATGAGAGGACATTGCTAATTAGCACAGCACTAGCTAGCCCAGCTATGACTGATACTGCTGTGAGCACTTCACTGATTGACTTCATATGGCGGTTGGCTACAGTGGGGTTAACGGTGTATCCGTCTCTCATCAGCACCAATCACACAGAGCAGAGCAGATGTTGTTCTAGGTTAACTGCTTCAATGCTCAGATCACTCTGCATATACTGTCGACATGGGAAAAGTATTCATGTATGACAACTAGAAAATATAAGAGATGCCTTATACCCAAGGGAAAGTAAATGGCATTCTAAATGTACATTAAGGTCTTGAGAGGGAAATGATACAATTACTCATTTTCGACTTCCGCGAGGCATTTGCAGTTGTACGGCTTGTTGCACAGACGTTATAATAGATCGCACCAATAAATGTTGGGTAACCATTGCTAGAGGGCTGAAAATGAAAGCTTTCTAGATGCCACAGTAACAATATTGCCTGGACATTGTCCCAACATAATTTCTGAAATGGCTAGGCCATTGACAATGCGATGTCTTTCGCTTACTGTAATGCAGTGTGTAATCTAACCTTGCGCTATTAAGGCATATCAATCATTATAGACAACTTCCAAACAACAATGGAAAAATAGTTGAAATCATGTGTAAAAATGCAATTCCACTAGACTGTCACCTTTTAATTGATGCATCCAGTAAAGTAAATATCTGAAGTTCAAGAACAACGAGGACCTTCAGTGGCTGACACTGCATCATCCTTTTATTATTCATCAGACCCTTCCTCACATCCCCACATACACTGCCTGAGTGTTACAGATACTGCAGTTAGACAGGGGGGAAATAGAAAGATGCTTGTGCGTGTGTGTGTGTGTGTGTGTGTGCATGGTGCATACCGTGTGTGTGTGTGTGTGCCTGCACTGCATGCATCCCTGCATATACAGTAAGTGCTTATTTTTCATGTACAATTCATTAGCTCTCTCTAATGGCCATATAGCGTATCAAGCCTGTGTGATGACACAATATTGTGGTGGGCAGCAGTACAGTAGCCGGAGCATGGCCTCTCTCCTCTCTCTCACCGTTCCTCTTGTGTAACAGATCCTCCTTGGCGCTGTTCTGTGCCGCAGCCCTCCGTACCATCGAGCTCTTGCCCGTGTTGAGTTTCCCGGATTCGTTGCTCGTAACCGAGCCGTCCTCACTTGGCAACCTGCCATGGGTAACCATAGCAACAGAGTAAGGCAGTGGTAAGCTCTGTGCATACAGTATTATCCAAGGTTAATGCTGCTATCAAACAGCCCCCTGGCCACTGTTCTAACCTGTGAAATATGGCTGCAGTATGTGACAGACAGGGTTGGTATGTTACTTTTTAAATGTAATCCGTTACAGTTACTATAGTTACCTGTCCAAAATTGTAATCAGTAATTTAACTTTTGGATTACCCAAACTCAGTAACGTTACTTTTAGATTACAGCATTAGAAGACGACAAAAATGATCCATTAAACGCATTTGGTGCGTCATCATAGTGGTCTCAGACTCGCTCAGGTGGAACAAAATTAAACTTGCACCTTTTTTCAATGCTGAATTGAATGTCATTGAGAAAACAGAAAGGTGTCGTGTCTTTTTTCGCAAACATCCTTTCTGAATTTAAAAAGAATCATATTGTTTTTCAAAAGTATCTGTAATCTGATTACAATGTTTGTTCATGGTAACGTAACTGATTACAGTTCGTTTTTTTGTAATTGGATTACATGTAACATGATGTAATCAGTTACTCTCCAACCCTGGTGACAGACACCTCTAAATGTAGTGGAACAGTGGGCGATTCCATCTTAATGTCAAACTATCTCCCCTGGTATCTTTTCAGGGGTAACCAACAGGCTGACACCAGTGACTAACACAGGAACCTGATGTTATGTCAGATAAGACAGCTAGGAAAACGCACACCCATTATGTCAGCTCATATCCACATTGCTCTTCAGAATGTTTGTATCAAATTATTATTAATCCCTCATGGACAGACTACTTAAACATAATCGAGCATCTGACCAAATGCGTGATTTTAGTTCTGGGTTAACCGAGATTAGATTATTCTAATGGTGTAATGCATTCAGAAATACTAAATGGAATCCGCATTCACAATCATGAGGCTTCTATAATGATGTACAGTTCTACCCCTGTGCTGAGAGAGAGAGAGAGGAGAGAGAGAGAGAGAGAGAGAGAGAGAGAGGAGAGAGGAGGAGAGAGAGAGAGAGAGAGAGAGAGAGAGAGAGAGAGAGAGAGAGAGGAGAGAGAGGAGAGAGAGGAGAGAGAGAGAGAGAGAGAGAGAGAGAATGTGTGTATTCCTGTCAACCTGAGCCCAGAGGACATTGACTCAAACATGGCCCTGGAAGGATCTCTCCAGGCTGTGTAGCTCACTCACGTCTCCATGCCCAGTGTTCAGCCTCTATTCACTTTACACCACTATGTATTTACCGCCTGTTTGTTTTACCAATTACTATTCTCAGTACCTTTTCAAAGGCGTTTTATTCTTTAATCATCACACTGCACAGCTGTGTGTTTTGTAGCCTTTTGAAGCCTTGCTCATCCCAGTCTGAATGAGCCCTGGGGTCCACCCAAAGGGTGACTGGAATAGTGGCCGCTGCAGCAGACCTGGGTTAACATAATATATAAAATAATTTTAAAGACTTTATTGGTGTTTGATTGAGCTTGCCTGGGTTGAAGGACCAATATAATAGTCCAACAACTGCAACCCTCCCACCCTCATCTGGTACTCCAGGTAGGCTAGCGCAAATACTCAAAGCATTGGAGATATTTCCAATACTACACTGCAGTGCCTTCAAGACCTAATGATCATTGTAACAGACTGGTGTCACACCTCCAGCTTGGCAGCCGTAAATATGACATTAAAAAGCCCGAGTGGGTCTTAATCAGCCAAAGATATGGGAGCTATACTGCATTTGACAGCTTTAAGACAATGACTGATATCTTGGGCTGGGTCAATAAAATAATCAAGGCTTTGGTGGTCTGTAAATGTCTTTCTCTGTGTTAGAATGAGAATTTTAATGCGTGGGAAATTCAAAGGAAAGATGGCTCAAAACAGCAGCTCAAGCTTGGCTTTGTCTTCTAGACAAGAGGAAAGAGAGCAGGCTGTATCCATTTTGTGGCACGGCAATAACTCATTCATGACTCATGTTATGTAACAACATTTTAGCTTTCGATTGCCTTAACCGAGTGATAGACGGCTACGAATCCGGGAATTGGCAACACCCAGGCAAACTGTAAGCCAGTCAACATGAGCAGATTTAAGCAGATTCTATGCAATCTGTCCAAGACTGTCATACTTATTGTGAATTTTCCTTGACTTAAAGTATTGGCACAAACAAATCCAAATGTGTTCTGGTAATCTGTAGTAAACAGGGATCATTCTTCATAGAGATCCTATCATTCTGTCTTTATTTAATTTGGTGTTCTTCTTACCCTTTGTGGATGATGTCAGCAGAAGGTGGTCTTTTAGAGGCGGTCCCATCCTGGTGCACCTTCCTGTCCAATGACAACGGGGCATCTCTCACCGGGAGGCCCAGGACCAGCGTCTCCTTGGTAACAGAGATGGTCTCCTCACCTTGCTGATGGCCCATATGCTTCTTGGCATAGTCAAATCCCTGCACAGGCTGGGACAGAGAGGGTTAGGAAAGGGTTTACGATGACATATGGTAAAGTAAAGGAGTGCTTTCTGAGAATGACATTTCATTTACAGATAAGGTAAATGAGCAGTCGGCTCGGTGAGCTCTGTTTTCTCTCAGTCAGCAAGTAAAGAATGAGATTCTACTAAATGTTAAACGAAACGTCTAATGGCACCTTTGAAGTTGAGATATAGTGGAGGAAAGCCATGGAAAATGTAATTGGTTTATGATTTATATTTTTGTTAATGTCTATGAGGTCTAGGCAGTTTCTTTATATAACCAAATTACTCTAATTTCATGAAGCCTCTCAGGTTTGTAAAACAGCAAAAAGGAGCATCACAGTGCAGACACTATTTTAGGAAAACTAAATACGTAAATACATTATATTAAATGTATTTCTACTTGAGTGCATGTGGGGATAAGAAGGGAGAATATAACTGCCCACAGCTTTAATAATGAAAGAGTCTCAGTGCCATCCAGTGTATTATCACACATGGTCGCAGCACACAGCTAAATGGGAGAGAAATCAATACACTGTACCGTGCGGACATCTTCACCTCATCCTGAGGTTAGTGATATTTCACGACAGTGAGTCTGGCAGAGGTAATGTATAGAGCCACTATGGCTTCATCATATTGGAAATTCACAGTTGGGGGGAATGTTTCTACAGATTAACCTTAAAGGCTGAGCTCAACACATATATTTTTCACTGGCAGGAGGCAGGCCTCTGTCCACTTGATTACATTGACTTTCTAAATGGTCACCTTTCAACTGCCCAGTTTGATAAAGACATGGAGTTGATCCAAGACTCTGCACAAGGCTACTCTGTGATGGATTTGACAAAGGGCTGATTCCACACCAGCGGGAGCTGAAAATATTTTAGGTATCTCAGATTGTTCTGGCAATTCTCACATAGAAACTTCATTGGGAGGAAGGATGTTAGAAATTATTTTTATATTAAACATGTATTTCTTTTCAATCATGATGGAAGTGGCCATTTTAGGCCCTTTTCAGACCTACTGTCCTAGGGTCGTGCCTTCTGCAAGACCCTATGATCTGTGAACCGTACATGATACAGATAACATCTTGGTGCCATTTATATTATTATATTCCTTATAGTGTGCTCTAAAATATGGAGTATGTCTAGATTCTTCATTTATTCAACATTACAAATATTAATATTTAAAAACGACCCTTTTTGATTGAGCTTATTTTTAAACATATTGTTTGTAACAATATACTCTTCAAACAGGTCAAATTTCCAGAGTGGGATTTCTGGTCCTTTAAATGACATTATAGGTCATTAACCAATCACAGCACTCCTTTAGGATTGCACATTCAGCAAGTCACCAGCAGTTCCTTTTGACTCCATTTTCCCATTCACTGTATTGGTGGTGCTCATAAAATAGATCATACCTTCAGAATTAGCAGACAGCCTACTCTGGAAATGTTATGTACTTGTAGAGTATATTGTTCCAAACAATATGTCTAAAATAATCTAAATCAACAAGGGTAGTTTTAAGATTTTAATATTATTATGTTTAATGTTAAATAAATTAACGTGAAATGGTTTATTTCAGAATCAAGACCTACTCCATGTTTTAGAGCACACTATAAGGAGTATAATGACACCAAGATGTTGTCTGTATCATCCACGGTTCACAGATCATAGGGTCTTGCAGGAGGCATGTATAGGTCTAAAAAGGCCCCAAAATGTCCACTTTCATTAACAAAAAAAAGAAAAACATGGTGATACAAATGTAAAATGCATGTTGAAAATCTTTCCTCCGAATGAAGTTTCTATGTGAGAATTGCCTGAACAATCTGAGTTACCAAAAATATTTTCTGCTCCTGCTGGCGTGGAATCGCCCAAAGATGGATTCTGTGTTTTGACTTGGCTCATTCAGTATACTGATGGAGTCACGGGACAGAGGTTTGATAAACCCCCAAGGGACTTTATGTAAAGAAACCTCATGGTAGAACCTCTCTGAACAACTAAATTATGATTGACATGATGGACAATATCACATAGTGGATTTGGAGAGCAATGAAATAGATTCACATATTTCCTGGTTAATGCAGAAACACACATGCAGACTGAAGCCATGCCATTGATTTGCAGCTTGACGTTGTCGTCTCACTTTGATGGATAATTGTGTGCTGTGGACTAGAGGTTCATGAAGCCCACTATCTCTCTAGTGGGTTATGCTCTGCTTGGTATTCTGTCTTCATTCCCAGAACGTTTGGACACCAACACATTACACTGCAACAGACTGCAAATATGTGCAGTGGAGTAGTGGAGCCAAAGAGCTTAACTCAAAGCATTTACCACGTTCTTTTGCCATATCGCCACAAGCTATTCATAAACCAAATAATTATAAGAACATTTATCTCAGTAGTTGTGCATGCGTGCCACATCTCTGGTCAGAAAGGGAAAGACAGAACGCTTTAAATGATTTATGTCACATTCAAAACAACCCAGTGACATTTAATGTTTACAAACAGTTTTACAAATCAACAAAACCTTGAAGCACTGCACTCTCAAATGTAAATACAGTAAGCAGACACTGTGCTAATAGAAACAGGCCCTGTTTTGGGAGAGAAGTCCTATCCTACTATCCTATTTTTACTAATCATGTGTATCTCTGACCTTGTCCTACAAAATAAGCTGGAGCTAGTACATCTGTTTCTCTGGGGGGAGTGATGATGGAATGACGTACAGAAATAACACTGAAATCAGCTGACTTTCTCTGCTGCTGCATGAGTGCATGTTGTGAAAGGACGGAGTCCATGATGAATCTGAAATGTTTTAGGGTGGGGGATCTTGTTTATGCTCCTCCATATTATCTCTATGAATCTAAATGGCACCATATTTAATCCAGTAACAACATTACTGATGGCTTGGATTCCACCACGAAGCCACTAGCTGATATGAGATGAGACGGGATGAGAAGAAGCCTGGTGGATAACAATCATTACTACGCATTTGAAAGGAACAGGGATGTATAGAATGGTCCATTGATCATAGACGATGAGCCCCGGTGAGCCCCCTCCATCCCTTCCATTGATTTCCCCCAGGCACTGTCAACAGAGGAGGGATGTCCTCTCCCAAGCACAGCCACATGCATTTATTGACAATAACACTCAGTCAATACCTGGCGGTGATAACTGCCCTCCCTCCGATAGGACGTCTAAACAAGAAGACAATTAAAGGGACATTTAGCGGATGATTTGATTCCAGCACATTAACCATCTGGATTCTCATTTCACCCCCATCATGCTCATTGAGCATCCATCACCATTGGCTATAAGTAATTGAGCGAACACAAGATAAGTGCTAAGACATTTCTCTGAACTGCACATGAAGATGTTAAGAGATATGGAAAGTTCACCTTAGAGCGTGTTTTGAAGCTCCTGAAAGCACCTGTCTTGAAGATGACCCTGTTCCTCTTGCACAGGATGGCGGTGACCATGACAACAACAACCATCACCAGGGCAACAGGCGTCAGCACGGCCATGATCCACAGATTGGCAGGTGGGACCTTTACCACAGCTGTCGGAAACCATGGAGATTAAATAAATACACCACCCACACACACCATCTATCAATATGTGTTATTGTTTGCAATCATTACGTAATTATTGAGGCACTTAGATATTAAACAGGCTATGAGACAGATACACTGAGTATACCAAACATTACAAACACCCCCCCCCCCCCCCCCCCCCCCCGATGTCCAAATTGTTCCAAAGGGAACAAACTACCATACCCAGTTCAAAGGCACTTAAATATATTGTCTTGCCCATTCACCCTCTTAACCATGTCTCAATTGTCTCAAGGCTTAAAAATCCTTCTTTAACCTGTCTCCTCCGCTTCATCTACACTGATTGAAGTGGATTTAACAAGCGACATCAATAAGGGATCATAGCTTTCACCTGGTCAGTCTATGTCATGGAAAGAGCAGGTATTTATAATTTTGTGTACACTCACTGTATATGTGCTTCAGTTTGAGCAAAACAAAAACATACTGCAATTACTCCTGTGCATCCATCTGTGTGTGCTGACTGAAAAGTTAGTTCTGTACACTTCATCTAAGAGAATAATGTTATGGCTGTTTGGTAAAGATGTGAAGATAACCTACGATCGGCTTGAAGCTGGATAAAGTAGCCCAGGGTTAGAGCCATGGTTTGGGAATCCAAGGTACTGAGGGTCTTGGCTGCAGTGGTGCCAGTTATGGGGGCACCGTTCATTTGGGCATAGTAAGTCATTTCGGCCGGGCTCTTTGGCCCAGGGAGTCGACGAATACCAACCATCTAAACAAGAACAACACAATTTGGTGGATTCAGTGCTGTCATATTGCATTAAGGAGCCATTACTATAATAAGAACGACGTTATCTGAAGGGGCAAACACTCGAAAATAACAGCACTCAAGGACCACACTCATGGGATTAATATGAACCAGTGGAATTAATCTTATTTTATTATAGATCAAATGTTTTATGTCATAACGGTTTAATCAAGGGCTGTGATTAAAGCTTGCCATAAAGAAGGGGGAGTGTTAAATGGAAGAGATCAACATCCGTTACATGAGCTCCCTCCCCCCTCATAAAACCTGATAATCTGTGACTATACATAAAAATGTGGCAAAACATAAAAGAGGAAATATAAATTATGTGGCTCTTCATAAAATTGTCAAACTCTGGCAAGTGAACATAAAACATTTTAAATGTTTGACTGAACACAGAGGTTGTTTATCAGTGAGTGAGCATGCAACCCGTGTGTGTGGGAGTGCATGCGTGCCCGACTCACCTGGACAGTGTAGTCTCCGACAGTAGTGGCCCTTCTAAAACGGCTCCCCTGGCTCCCCTGACGCCCAGCCACCAAAAACAGCTCAGCCAGCCGCTGCTCCATTAAACTAGCAAAGCTCTGATAATTCCTCTCCAGAGATGAGCTGTCAACATCCTGAATTACTGCAGAGCAGTGGAGTACAGAAAGAGAGAGAGAGAGAGAGAGAGAGAGAGAGAGAGAGAGAGAGAGAGAGAGAGAGAGAGAGAGAGAGAAGAGGGGGAGAGGTAAGAGGATAAGAGAGGAGATGAAGAGGTGGGAGAGGGACAGTGGAGGACAGAGGTTTGGTTATTCATCCCTCAATGTAAAACCTGTAAGTCCCATTATAGTGTCAGGCTGACCTTGGCACACAGTGGTCTCATCATGACAGTAGCAGAAAGGTACAGGGGGAGGCTAAAGCTAATTTAGAGACCGCTCACAAAATAATGCCTCCTTCACACTGAGCCCTGATCCGATGTGATCTTTCAGAAGCAGATGTCCGGAAGCTCTAAATAATGCATCAATAGCATTCAGAGGGAAAAGAGGAGCTCAAATTTGTTGAGGGAAAAAAACCACTGGCATACAAATTTACACAACAGTAGATCAAAGCACTAACTAACTAGCAGTTAGTGAAAATCAATGACACTTTGAATTACCTGTGATCACCCAGTAGTGCTTGGTGGCAGTGGATGTGTTGAGGTTGTAGTACTCTAGTGCTGTGGAGGGAGAGGGGGGAGAGAGATGGAGACAGACACAGATAGAGGGAACAAACACATAGAGAGAGAGAGAGAGAGAGAGAAGAGAGAGAGAGAGAGAGAGAGAGATAGAGAGAGATAGATAGAGAGATAAGAGAGAGATAGGATGAGAGAGATAGAAGAGATAAGATACTCTCTCTCTCTCTCTCTCCTCTCCCTCCCATCTCCTCTCCTCTCCGCTCCCTCTACTCTCCTCTCCTCTCGACCTCTCCTCTCCTCTCCTCTCCTCATCCCTCCTCCTCTCCTCTCCTCTCCTCTCCTCTCCCGCTCCTCTACCCAGAAGAAGAGAAGAGAAGAGAAGAGAAGAGAGAATAGAGAAGAGCTTAGTATTGGGTGCCTGGCTGCATGCCTGATAAATTCCACATTTTCTGTCTTATTATGCAGCTGGCTGGAGGCCAGCAGGGATGTTGCCTCTGACTTTGCAGTGGCACCTTATCCCTCATAACTCTCTGTTTGACACTCTGTAATCATTTTGAAACTGTCCGAGCCCTGAATATTCAAATGGTAAAGGATTCATTTTGACAGCATGAGATGAAATCCTGAGGTAGTGTGTAAATATAAATAGAACGTTATCTGATCTTCCCTTCATGCTAAAATTACCCATTCTGTGAAGAAACACCCAGAAGGTGATGCAAATGATTAAGGTTTAGCATGAAGTGAACTAGTCAGTCTCCTCTCTGCACAACAACAAGATCCTCGGATTACTGTAAATGCGAGCAACCATAACTTCTCCTTTGTAAATTAGATCCACATCTAATTATCAGTATCAAGACAGCATACATTTTCATATTCAGAACACACACTTATGAAGTGGAGAATTTACATTGAATTTCATTCAAATTTCAATCTTCAAGTAATGGAATTGAAATTGAATTAGACTGTTTGAATTAGAATTGAAATATAAATATTTGGAATTAATTTTTTTAGAAAATGACCGGAGGACTAGTTTAAAATCATTTCAACTTGTATTTCTATATTTCCAGTATAGCTAGACTGTCTGAACAGCGACATGGACAGCCAGAAAAGCCTGAAGGAATTCAATTCGATTGGAATTTGAGGAATTGTTGGGGATAATATTGAACATGGAATTGAAATCTTGGAATTTAACTAACATTAGAATTGAGACTAATTGAATTATCTCTGAATTAAAATACTGACCTGGAATTTGAGTTGAATTAAATGGAATTTACAAGTAGAGGGAATTGATTTATAATTTAATTTGCGGAAATAACCTCAAGCCTGGCTATCGCTGAAGGACAATATCGCTGAAGGACAATACTCATTGGGAATATGACATCAATATTCATGTATCAGAAAATAAATAAATAAATAAGGACAAAAAGCCAGGCAAAACATGTCACTCAAACCCTTCCCATGATGCATTGGGGCACTTACGCTCAGCGATGACGAGCGGGGGGAAGAAGAGGAAGTAGCCCACCAGCTCTGCGGTCAGCTGATTCAGGAGACCACTGGAGACGGTTCCGTTCAGGACCGCGTCCTGGTTCTTGACCACATAGACCAGAGATACGGCAGAAGAACCAATCGCCTGGGCGGTGCTCTGGATCTGAACAAACACAGACGAAACCAGACATGTTGAAGTAAATACAACCCTCTAAACAACTATGCTAATTGTGTGTGATTGAATATGACCCCAAGTCATAAATGTACCTCAACAGAAAGCCCGCTGTAAGATTCCAGCACTTTGTCCTGAGCTTCCTCAAACGCATTCTCCAGCCGTTGTTCCATCACTTGAACAAAACTGCAGGACTTGATGTTGTCCGCTGGGCCTACAAACCTGAGAACTAAAAACAGCAGAGCAACAATCAATATACCAGCACAGTACATTCAGTTACAATACATGACAGCACAGTACAACATTCTCTACAATCACGGTCACATCATCCAGCAGTGTTACTGTGTTGGATGTGGAGTGTTGTTCCTGATGAGCCTCACCTGTTTTAAGCTGCAGATGGACACTGAGGCTAGGGGCCCAGGGGGCCACAGGGACCAGAACAGCCATCACCAGAGGACTGTGCTTCCGGATGTCTGCTAGGACTTTGTCAAAACCATAGGCCTTCACCGTCTCCACCACCACAGATGCTATGTAGACCGTTTTCCCACTGGCTACATAGTACCCAAGGGTGACATTATGAGGGCTGCAGAGATCCCGTTCAATCTGAAGTGAAAACATGTTGTTTATATCTTGATCGCTAACACCCAATACAATAGCAATGGGTCAAGGCTAGTGTCTCTGGCCCTTTGTAGTACCACCCACTCCTCACCAGTCTCTACCAGTATGTGTTAGCTAGCTACCCCCGGACACACTAACTATGCAGCTGGTGTTTGTGTTGTCTCCCGCTGATCACCTCCGGGCTCACTAATAATACATGGATTCTGATGGGGAGAGGAGAGGAGGCCTGCGATAGAGTAGCAGCCACTGAATCACACACCAGACAGACAGACAGACAGACAACACCGGCAGGAAATCAATGGACTTAAACTTGAGTCAGCCATCAGTTAGACAGAGAGAGAGAGAGAGAGAGAGAGAGAGAGAGAGAGAGAGAGAGAGAGAGAGAGAGAGAGAGAGAGAGAGAGAGAGAGAGAGAGAGAGAGAGAGAGATAGAGAGAGAGAGAGAGAGAGATGAGACAGAGGACTGAGAGTCAGAGAGAAACAGACAGAGAGAAACAGACAGAGCGGACCACACAGAGAGAAACACACAGAGAGAAACTGACAGAGAAACAGTGAGAAACACAAAGAGAAACAGACAGAGAAATAGATAGAGAGAAACAGACAAGAGAAACACATACAGTGCTATGAAAAAGTATTTGCCCCCTTTCTAATTTTCTCTACTTTTACATATTTGTGATACTGAATGTTATCAGATCTTCAACCAAAACCTAATATTAGATAAAGGGAACATAAGTGGACAAATAACACAACAATTACATATTTATTTTATTTATTTCATAAACAAAGTTATGCAACACCCAATTCCCCTGTGTGAAAAAGTAATTGCCACCTTACACTCAATAACAGGTTGTGCCACCTTTAGCTGTAATGACTCCAACCAAATGCTTCCTGTAGTTGTTGATCAGTCTCTCACGTCGCTGTGGAGGAATTTTGGCCCACTCTTCCATGCAGAACTGCTTTAACTCAGTGACGTGTGGGTTTTCAAGCATGAACTGCTCGTTTCAAGTCCTGCCACAACATCTCAATTGGGATTAGGTCTGGACTTTGACTAGGCCATTCCAAAACTTCCAATTTGTTGCTTTTTAGCAATTTTCATGTAGACTTGATTGTGTGTTTTGGATCATTGTCTTGCTGCATGACCCAGCTGCGCTTCAGCTTCAGCTCACAGACGGATGGTCTGACATTCTCCTGTAGAATTCTCTGATACAGAGCAGAATTCATAATAATATAATATGCCATTTAGCAGACGCTTTTATCCAAAGCGACTTACAGTCATGCGTGCATACATTTTTGTGTATGGGTGGTCCCGAGGATCGAACCCACTACCCTGGCGCTACAAGCGCTGTGCTCTACCAGCTGAGCTACAGAGGACCACCCATGGTTCCTTCTATTAAGGCAAGTCGTCCAGGTCCTGAGGCAGCAAAGCATCCCCAAACCATCACACCACCACCACCATGCTTGACCTTTGGTATGATGTTCTTACTGTGGAATGCAGAGTTTGGTTTTCGCCAGGCATTACTGTAACCATGTCGTCCAAAAAGTTATACTTTTTAATCATCTGTCCATAGAACGTTCTTCCAAGAGTCTTGATGATCATCCAGGTGCTTTTTGGCAAACTTGAGTCAACTTTTTGGACGAGATGGGTCCCATTATGCCTGGCGAAAACCAAACACTGCATTCCACAGTAAGAACATCATACCAAAGGTCAAGCATGGTGGTGGTGGTGTGATGGTTTGGGGATGCTTTGCTGCCTCAGGACCTGGACGACTTGCCTTAATAGAAGGAACCATGAATTCTGCTCTGTATCAGAGAATTCTACAGGAGAATGTCAGACCATCCGTCTGTGAGCTGAAGCTGAAGCGCAGCTGGGTCATGCAGCAAGACAATGATCCAAAACACACAATCAAGTCTACATGAAAATTGCTAAAAAGCAACAAATTGGAAGTTTTGGAATGGCCTAGTCAAAGTCCAGACCTAATCCCAATTGAGATGTTGTGGCAGGACTTGAAACGAGCAGTTCATGCTTGAAAACCCACACGTCACTGAGTTAAAGCAGATCTGCATGGAAGAGTGGGCCAAAATTCCTCCACAGCGACGTGAGAGACTGATCAACAACTACAGGAAGCATTTGGTTGGAGTCATTGCAGCTAAAGGTGGCACAACCAGTTAGAGTGTAAGGGGGCAATTACTTTTTCACAAAGGGGAATTGGGTGTTGCGTAACTTTGTTCATGAAATAAATGAAATAAATATGTAATTGTTGTGTTATTTGTTCACTTATGTTCCCTTTATCTAATATTAGGTTTTGGTTGAAGATCTGATAACATTCAGTTTCACAAATATGCAAAAGTAGAGAAAATTAGAAAGGGGGCAAATACTTTTTCATAGCACTGTAGTTAGAAACACACAGAAAGAAACAGACACAGATAAACACACAGAGAGAAACAGACACAGAGAAACACACAGAGAGAAACAGACAGAGAAACAGACACAGAAACACACAGAGAGAAACACACAGAGAGAAACAGACAGAGAGAAACAGACAGAGAGAATGAGAGCTGAATAATGGACATTTCCGAAGAGGAAACGCTGATAATAATGAGTTTTAGTCATTCAGCTGGTAGGGTCCATAAGAGCCATTCTCTTCACATACTCTTAACAGCCTCTATAATGCAAAGCCTATTCACAATTCAAGAGGCCATTTATTATCATATTGAAATCCTTTCATCATTAGTCACTTCAGTCTCATCTGCTATCACAGTGAGAGATTGGACCCCATGAATAATAAGGCTAAGAGGAGAGCAAGAATAAGTCAATACACTCACTATAGTTCCTTTAGAAGTGGCCATGTCAACGTTCCTAACCGCTAGGTAACCTAGCAGTTAAAAGCGTTGGGCCAGTAACCGAAAGGTCGCTGGTTTCGACTCCCCGAGCCGACTAGGTGAAAAATAAAATCTGTAGATGTGCCCCTGAGCAAGGCACCTCACCCTAATTGCTCCAGGGTCGCCATCAATAATGGCTGATCCCTGACCGTGACCTCACTCTCCGAGGGTGTCTCAGGGGGTGTGGGATATGCAAAAAACACATTTCCAATTCACATGTGTATAATACACACTTGTACATGTGTGAAATAGGACAAATGTAAGCACCTAATTCTTTATTATTATTATTATTATTATTATTATTATTATTATTATTATTATTATTATACCGTGAGTAGCCAGCTACTATAACTAATACCAAATGCTTTTCAACAGTGCGAAGATGGATGATGCAATATTTGAACAGGACTATGGCACATACTGTATTTGATGTAGATTTTCTTCTCCAGTTACAGTGCAGCAGTAACAGCATCCTAACACAGAGAGTAGAGGACAGTCAAATACTGACCTGGACATAAACACTGGTGTCATTGAAGGCCCTCTGTAGAGCATGGGTGAGTCCTTTAGACAGATTCTGCCTCACGATGATATCAAGCCTGTTCCTCCTCAACTGCATGGACAACACTGTGGAGGAAAACACAGATATGAGGTGTGTCAGTCTTCTGGACGTGAATGATAGGAAATCCTTTGGAAGGAACCAGAGGACTTTTATTATGGTGGTAAAAATACTGTAACAACTCAAAGAAACAACACAGTGTATGTTAGTGAAAGGTTGTTCAAACTGAGCTTTGAACTGAGAGCCCATACCTGTTTTGACCCAGGTCTTCTCAGTGATGTTACATGGTTGAATTTCCTCTTCAGCACTGGTGGGAGGAGGTTCAGTTGTGGTCGGTCCAGGGGTGGTTTCTGTGGTGGTGGTGGGGACAGTCAAAGTGGTGGTCGGTGCAGTGGTAGTTGTAATTGTAGTGGGAGCGGTTGTGGTAGTGGGAGCACTTGTGGTTGTGTTCGTCGTGGTGGGTGGGTCAGTTGTGGTTGTCATCAATGTAGTCTCTTGGATGTTGGTCACTTCCTGTGTGGTTGTAGTGGTCCTGGGTACGGTCGTAACCGCCTCTGTGGTCGAAGCGGTAGTGGTCTGGGGTGTCAAAGTTGTGGTGGTCACGGTCAGGGGCGTTACGGTCGTTGTGGTCACAGTCGTGAGCTGTAGACTTTCATTGGTCACAGTGTCTGGTGTTGGGTTGGTGTGCGCTGCTGTGGTGGATGGTGTAGTGGTGTTGGTGTCAGCCCTTGCAGGTGTGGTGGTGTTCCATGTGTGAGTGGAGAAAGGACTAGTCACATTGTCTGGGAGGGTGGAGTCGCTCTCCCCCAGTGTGGCCAGAGAGGAAACTGCTGGGACTGTAGGCAAATCTGGGTTCGCAGGCAAACTGCTGACCGCCTCCTCTGCAATGAGACAACGAACAGCGTTTAGATGATGCCACATCTGGTCATTCATATCAGGTGAATAATGTCCCATTTTGATGATGTCACATACTGTGAGGATGATGTCAGACTGGAAGAAGCAGCAGGCACCGGGGAGGTAGACGATGGAGGGGATGGGACAGGGTGATGTGGAACTGAGCTGGACCAAATTAAATGAAATGGATTTTGAGGGAATGAACGTGCAGATGATGATGATGGACAAGGAAACAAAGTCTCTAGTCTGTAGACACTAACCACAGTCATGAGGCATTATGGATGATATTATTTAAATTCTATTAGATGGGGTGGATTACTGTTTGAACTTGGGTCCTACCTGAGCTGGTGTTTGAGGTGCTGTTGGCTACAGGGGCTGTTGTTCCAGCTGTTTGATTGTCATTGTTGATGGCTGAGGAGGAGACTGAGGAGGAGGCTGAGGAGGCATTAGCTAGTACTGATGGTTGCACTGGGGCCTGTGGCTCTTGGTCTGAGCTAGCCAGCAGGGTCAGTACAGAGGAGAACCCTGGCTTCTCTCTGGTGCTCTCTGCTGTCGCCCCTGATGGGTCTGATGGGTCTGTGGGCTCGACTGGAGGTGCCAGGGGCCCGTCCTCCACTGGCGTTGCCCTGGCAGAGAGGTTAGAGGTCACAGCTGGGTCCTGAGGCAGAGCTGCATGTCCTGATGACCCGTTGTAGCGCCCTTCATCTGGAAAACGAGGAGAGAGATTGGACTTAACAAGGGAGGAACGTATTCATTCTCTATTTGACTCATCAATCCCAGAGGCCTGATGATGACGTCTTGACTGTCTCCCATGTTTCTCATCAACATCGACTCAATCTATAACTGCATCTTGAAAATATGAAATATTGTTATTCAAATAGCAGCCTGGCCGTGCCCTCCTGTCAACAACATGAGTGGTGCGGGGAGAAACTGACTTCCCAAAAGGAGCAGAACATGTGAGGACACAAACACTTCTTAGTCATCCGGGAGCAGTATTATGAAACTGTGACAGTGGGAACATAATCTTAAATAGGTCACTTATATTTTGTTCAGGATAAGCATAGGGAATTAATTTAGATGTTAAGTACATATCTGGGGCACACATAAGCAGCTGCTGTGATTTAAAAACATATAATCTCAACCTACGAGAGAAAGCTAGCGCATGGAATCTGTGCTGATACGGTGGTGGTGTTTTCAAAGGCACCTTTCCTCAGCACAAGTGAACGATGAGGAACGGGCAGCAAGCAGGGTTTATTGCCTTCTGGAAGGCAGCCGGTGAAATACTGGCAAACCTCCAGAGCGCATTTGTACTTCCATTCTGAGCATACACCACATTCTCAACTGATTCATCTGAGGATTGTTCAACTAAAAGGAAGGATTTCCGAATCAGGCGGGCTTTGTACAACCAGACCTGTGCCTACATCCCCAGGATGCAATCCCACTGTCTCCCATTAATGCTACCCACTGAACTGTTCATCTCAAACATTGAGTCTACCAAGAACTAGCAGCAATTAATCCTATAAAAAGCTCTGATAAACCAATAATCAAAAGCCCTCCATGAATATATATGACAATGAGTTTGCACGTTCTTTATTGCCAACCCTAACAGTAGATATTCATTTGATAAGACCCTATAAGCTCAGAAGTGTGAGTGTGACAGCATTTGGTGTCTTCAAGACATGACACACTGAAGACCTTTCCTGTATCTATCCTAACCCCCCACAGAAAGCCACCTGCTCTGACAGGGACCAACATATGGGGCCCTCGGTCAGAAGCACTGAGAGATCACTGAGAGGCTGAGCCATGGCAGTGGACAGCAATTGGGTTCATATGACAACACGACTGCTCCAGCCATCCTGGGGTTCATGAAGATGCTCTGCCCATTCAGAACACTGATCCGTTGGAGCAGGAAAGAGGGAAACATGGAGAAACATGGTGCAACCACCATCCTAGGCGCAGGTGGTGAGGAGGGGGCGCTGGGGAAGTGTCCAAGTGAAATTAAACCCATTGAGACAATGTGGTGTGCTTTCCATGGAGTGACATCTTTCCAACAGGATGGACAGATACACACTTCCTGAAACTATTCATAGTGTCCATCTGTCTCTCTGGGTTAAATAGTGGATCTACAGTACAGAGCAAGTAACACTTTTACAGTGTTTTTCAGGAAGATTACAGGTCCCAAAGGCAACAATTAAATATTCACCTTAAAGGCTGATTAAAAACATTTATTCCACGAGCAAAACATAGGAAACGTGAATATGAAAAATGAAAAAATATGTTCCACATTTTATTGCATTTAGCAAAGCTACACACATTTAAGACACGTTTATTTTTCAACCAGTTTGACAAACATACTCCTTAGGCTATGTTTTATCACAGCTATGTCCTCTTACTTCAAGATAAGGCAGATATGGAAATTGAATCATAAAGTACGGACAGAGGGCATACAGCAGTGACAGTATGGCTGGCAGATTTGAGCTCTGAGCTATATGCAAGTTCAGCTGATATTTCACTGTTTTGTTTGTCAAACACAACAGAATAATATGTCTTCTGTTTACCCTGAGTGGTATTCCACAGACACCTGCTAAGTGTGGTCACACTGCATCTCAGCATGCATCCGTAGACACAGCATAGCAACAACACTGCCTTTTAAGAGGTGTTGTTCCAGCTATAGAGTTAATGGAATTATATTCACAATAATTCAATAGTACGGTAATTAGTAGTCATGAAATATTACTAATCAGTAGAATAGAAAATGTAAAAGCATTCAACCACATAGGCTACTGTAATTGCATGCATGAAAAATTGAAAGACCGTGCCAGTCTCTCAGGTAACACATTACCATAAATGAAGAGCTGAAGATAGACTTATAGGAGCACAGTATTACGTTATCGCAGTAAACCCTTTCCATTTACAGCACGCTAACTCATATCAATGCCAAACTAAAGTCAAACCAGAGCCTGAGCTTTGCACAGCTTATGATTAAGGAGGGTATTAAATGTTTTTAGACGGTTGAAAAAAGCCAATGACGTGACAGTGCTGCACACACGCTGGTAAAGACAGCTGTAAAAAAGATTCAGCTGCTGAACAAACAAAGTACCATATTCTGTTTCATCTCTTGTTGGAGCCCAGGCCCTGTGAGTGACCTATATTGGAGTGATCCCACTCCTGGGTCCTGGGAGAATATGATGGACATACTCTGGCACTTCAGTTGTCACACACTTAAAGCCACAGTCTGCAATATTTCCTAACGGTCATTTAAATTAATGATACATACACCGGTAGTACTCATTGATTTTTGAAGATTTGTATAAATGCATTAGTACACCTGTATTATCATGACACAAGACTGCAAAATACAACAACTAATAAGCCTACCTGGGAAGCTTTAAACCACAAACTAAAAAGATGTGGTGTTAATGCATTCCATTGGAGGACTAAACAAGGTAACTAGCATATTGCAGATGAAGGATGCTTTCAGAATGTGATAAACAAAACTTGGTTGTGATGTCACTGATGCAGAATATTAGCAGCTCTTTTTTCTAAAAAAAAATATAAAATAAAATCTGTGCAGGCATTACTGGGTCTCATGTGACTAGACAGTCATGTGACCATTTCCCTTGCTCGGGGTAGGTCAGGCAGTCTAGCAAAAACAAAGCGAGAGTAAGACATTCTGAGCCACAACAATTTTTTAATTGGTCACATAAGGACATGCGCAGAGTGGAAAATTATGCAGTTGACAATCTGGCCATATTGTTGTGAGGCAGGCAGGCAGGCAGGCACTGAGGAGGCTCTTTGGTCTTTCTGCTGCATGCCTTTGACTTGAAGGGAGAAAGACAGCCATGTGATGCTGCTGGGGGAGCTCTAGTCTAGCACTGTAGCTTATGAAAGGAAACACAGAAAGGGGACACAGCAAACACCATTACATCACCCTGAATCCACCTTGGCAAACAAAGAAATCCGGATCCTACCATGTTCACTTTCCACAACAAACCTGATGGCTTGTGTGACAGTGATAATGAATAACAGCAATAGATGGAGCATGGATTTCAACAGGCCTTGTTTGTTTTATATTCGGAGTCTGGCTCAGTTTGGCTATGTAGCCTTCTCTTCTGGTTAGCGTCACAGCAGCCAGGGACTGAAATATTGAGAGCTTTCTAAGCTCCCGCAAGAGAGAGCATGTGAGATTCCTTCACCTCAGTGCATCCTAAGAAACACCTTTTGATGCACTTGGCTTTGCCACGAAGCAGCAGCTTCAAGTCCCAGGGGTGCAGCAGGTAATCATAACCATATTAAAAGTGGATGAGCATCTTGCTCTTCCAGCACCACCCTCCAAAAGAGCAGCGAGAAAATGTATTTCTCATATCTGAGGAGTCAAAACTGACCTCAGGGGACCAGAAGTAAGACCTAAGCACTGGGAAAGTTAGTTTCACTCTGCATTAGTTGTTGTTGAATTGTTCTTTGTAGCCTACTGATCCTCGGACAGACAATATCCTGTCCATGTGAGTAAGTCATACATACACACAAGACCAACCCTAAAGACAACCCAATGAATTAGAAACAACGTATGGCCTTTTGACAAAACAAGATACTGACATTAATTACAATTAGTGTAGGGCATATGTGTTACTGATCATACAAAAATAAATATTTAGTGAACATTTTCATTAAAACATTTCAACAAAAAACTGCAAGTTTTAAATTTGACTTGCTTACAGTAGCCTACTATAAGCAAAATTGTTATTATCAGAATATTTTTTCAATCCTGATTCAAATTCTTAAAAGTGTTAGATAATTTCTTATAGCTTCTTTCAAATGTAGATAGCATGTGAAGAATTCACAGTAATGTCACTACGATCAACTGTCAGAACTGGCACTGAGGGTAGAAAGAATTTAGGACAAAGTCAGTCACCTGACTTTAGCTAAGTGACAAACGCATGCACGAATTTGTATTGACTCAAGCGGCCAAACACCAACAGTAAATCACGAAAGCCCCTAGCTACAGCCTATCCCAGGGAAGAGTGAACACTTCGATTGATAGACTTTGAACATAAAAGTATGCATTGATTTTTTATTTAATAAATGCCAAAACTGCTGCAGGACCCCATGTGACTCAACAGGTCCAATAAGGAACCACTGGCTATGCTTTGCCCTTTCTCGCCCCCTACTGTGGTCAAAGCACTGTTTCATAAGCTACCGTAGTGGGAGATTTGCAGGTGCATATGGTGTGAGCACAGAAGCCATTTCATTATTGTCTCAGGAATCAGAAGCATTAATCTGATAGAGGTCACCCATGATCATGTGACTCTCCATCCCATCATAGGAAACATGTGTTAAATGGCTCTTATGGTCAGTGTCACTGATTCCATGGCATATAGTATTCATTAGATGAGCTAAAAGGCCAGAACTCATTTGGTTATACTTTCCCATTACATAATAGACACAGTCATACAGTGAGCAGCATCTTCGCAGCTCTCCGGCGGTTGAGGATACAAAAGTGGCTTCTAAACGGACGCTAAAGCTGCAGTAAAAAAAATGTATATATTCCAAACTAAAATGTAATTGGGGTTGTTCCAGACAGGTTTTGTTTGCTTTACCTTCAAGGTATACAGCACTGTTGCAAAGCCCTATATTTAAGCTGTGCCAAATAAATAACTACACACGGCTACTGTAAGGTAGTGCTGAAATGAATCAAAGCAGTTATTTTTGTCTGTTCCTGTTTCAGTTTCTTTCAGTTTGATCTCCTGGTCTGCTCAGGTCTACGATGAGGCAAGACAGCCCTTCTCTTGGTGTTTCTCTCTTCAGTCAGTACTGAGGCCTCCGAGGCCAACACAAATTGAACAACTGCTGCTACATAGCAGACAGCATCTATCAAGGCCGTCACACAGTAGTCACTGTGAGCGATGACGAGAGGGCGTTCTAATACATTGTGAGTTCAGAACTGCTCAAGGAGACAGAGACATAAATCCATCTGGATATTCGTAATTTAATCTTAAAGGGATTGATTGCATTTTCATGAGACTTTTAGTGTAAAATTATTGTTACCTAATGTGTTGGTTTGGGGTCAACGCTATTCCCTTATGACAGAAATTAAATTTACAAAACATAGCTTTTTGATGGACAATCTCCAGGGACATTAAGCTTGTCAAACAGTTTTGAGAAACTTTTACGTGTCCCTATGATAGAATTACAGTGTTAAAAAGGGAACATAATCACACAGTAACTGGACTTAGAGCTGCTATGCAGCAGAGTAGTAGGCATCTACAGGGTTTCCCAAACTCTGTCCTGGGGCCTTCCATGGGTGCACGTTTTGGTTTTTGCCTAGCATTACACACAGCTGATTCAAATAATCAACTTATCATCAAGGTTTAATTATCTGAATCAGCTGTGTAGTGCTAGGGCAAAAAACAAGGCCCCAGGACCGAGTTTAGAAAACCCTGGCTTCAAAACACAGACATTTGGAAAACACACACATGCACACACAGTATAATATACTAACATGTATTTAAGTAATAACATGTATTACATATGCATACAGTATAATGTACTGTGCATATGAACTAAGTATTCTGCATCAAGGTGTTAGCACATCATTACTGTGTTTCGAACACACTCTCCTGTTCAGAACACTACATAAAATCCCCCAAAGATCAGGAATAAATAAGTACTAAATAAGTAAATAAATAAGTACTATACCTAAATCGGAATTAGAAATCAAATTAGCCAACAAGCTCATCCTACCCACAGCTTTATAGAGGCTTGCCATGCATAATGTATTTAATGTAAAAGGGAAATATCTATTTAAGATCTAGCAATGCATAATTCACTTCCACAGCACAGGCAATCGCCCTAATGAAGCACAGCAGAGTATGGGAAAGGTGTTGTACAGGCCATGTTTTAGGCTGCTCTCTTAAAAGGGCTCCCAAGCAACCCAACTCTTAATACTTGCTTGCGGAATAAACCAAATTGTGGGCATCTTATTATGGGATTGTATAAGGGGCTAACAAGCAGGACACAACAGAGGGGCCCACATTTTCCCACCATCCTTTGAGCTGCAAATTGTTCATAAAGAATACCAAGGAGAAATCCAACCGGAGCAGCATGCATCAAATACAGAAAGACTGAAAGCCATTATCAGCAGATTGGGAGTCCTGGTTAGCATAATTGATCAGTAATTGATGAAGACAAGATTAATTATTATTGGGCATTCATTGCCTGGTGACCAGCAGCAGCTGTCGTCATACTCAGTGATAAATAAATACATTCACTGGCTTTTCATCTGATTACAACCCACTAAACCAGTAGTGGGTTCCTGGTTGTTAATGTATTCTATGAGCACAACAGCATGCAGCAGCCTATTTCAAGACCAGTTTGCTGCGCTTTTCTCCACATCAATGTTGATATAGCATGACGTGACCACAGCTTGAAAAGCCTGGTTAAAGAAGTGTGAAAGGTGTAGTTGTGTGTAATTGGTAGAAAAATATTGGAAATAAAATGGAGCACAAAATAGTGTTTTCTTGCTAATGAAAGGGTATAGGCCTAGGCATGCATTTGACTGTATCTCAAAAATGCCTGTTGTTTGCTGTTGAGCAGTGTGAAATCCTTTCTGCCATAATTTACACGGAGAAGCATTTCATTTGCATGCACTATTCAAATCACACAGCATTCAATCTTAAGCTATTGTCTAAAAGCAGACCAAATTGGAGTTTGTACTGGTTATGTAGATGCTATAGGGCAGGTAAAAAGAAGTGTTAGGCAGATCAGTTCCCATGGCAACACAGCACATTTGGCTCCATGTTGACTTAATGGTACAGCTCTGTGAGCTCATTAAAGAAAAAACACCTCATCCTCACATCCACAAGTGGATCTGGCACCTGACCATAGCCAAATGCCAAGATATTCAAATATGGTTTTATGAATGGAGGAAGAGGGGGATATAATAGCAATCTGAGAGGATTTGAAAATATAAAGGCTAGGGCTCGGGCAAGGGCAGGCCTATGGCTGATTCGCAATATGTTTTTCCTACATGAATGTAGAGAAAAACAACACATTGGAAAGGTAAAATTAGGTGAAAACCACGACCCATGGTCAAATTATAGGCTTATGCCTTATAAGCACCAGGTCCAAGGCAGAAAATAAAAACAAATCTCATTAGTGGCATTTTGCTTCTTATGACAGCATCATCCATCCTTTATAAATGATGACTATGAAACTTCCACACGTTATGTTATTTCTAGAAGGTAAGTGACCGCCACAAATGTTGCCATCACTGTCGATCAAATAAGTAAGACGCGTAATTATAATTGCCCGCGTTGCAGTCTTGACTGCTGCACAAAGGCCACTCCAGCGGTTTTCTTCCTTCGAAAAACACAAGAGGCTGGGAGGCCACATTACAAAATCAACAATCATATTGATTTAGAATGTCTAATTGCCTGAATGTGTTTGCTTAAAGCAAAAATAGGCGCAATCAGATTATTGTGCGTAATCATTTAGATTACGCACAATAAACCACTAGCATACATTCTAAATGTTTGAATGTCATTATCCGCGTGTGCACCGATGGTCATAACATAGGGACAGGGTACGAAGAGTTCCACTAGAAAAGAGCAACCAATTTGAGATATTTATATAATACAATCCCCATCCACCTACAGGTCATATACAGCCTAACATCTCGATGAATATCAATTAGTTAGTCCTACCAAGCAAGAAAATATTACTCGAACAGGTTGTCAACAACCAAATAATAAGTCTTACCATCAGCAGCTAGGACAGACTGCATTAAAAGCAAAACCATTCCAACTGATAAAATACATTTAGTCCACATTCGATCCAGTCCCAATGTCTTTCCGTTTTTCTGGAAACATAAGGTGGATCCCATTCCTACACCTATCCATTCAATCGAGCCAATCGCGCGTGCATTGTTTATTCCGCTGACAATTAAATCCTCGAGGCTGTTACGCACATGTTTTGAAGCCATTTGTTTATCCTTGATACATCTAACAGTCTCAATATTGACAGATACATTTGATTAATCTTTCACTGCGGAAGATGTTCTCCGTAAGCCTCTCCCCGAGGTTGACAGAAAGCGGCAGCATTGAAACTTGTGTGTAATGCGTCTGTAGCCAACTGTCCATGCGCCACGTAGACCTGCTAACGCGTAATAAGCGATTATTTACGAAAAATCTAAAATGCACTCATAACCATAGGAGTACATTTAATCATTCGGACGGAAACGGCTCCCGTTCAAAACGCAAAAGTGATAAATAATGCTACCGCGTCGGAATATTTACAAGTCGAACCCGTCATTTCATTAGGAAAAAATATCACGTCGCGGCGTGACGCTAGAGTTGACTGCAAAAATATTTGCAAATCTCCTCACAGTAAGACGCCCCCTTGTGGTATTGATGGCAAACCAAAATAAGAAAACACTAAACCGATTCGAAATAGTTCCTATTTAAACTTGATTATCATAATTCGATTACCAATTGGATTTGCATAAATCTGCGTAAATGAACATGTAGCTTCAAAGGACAGGTTGTCACTAGCTGTGGCCAGGGTTAGCCAATGGCATCGCATACATTAGTGATGAGACATTGAGATCAGGGTTGAGAACAGCATCACATAAACTACATGTTATTTAAAAAATGTGTCTGGTTTCGAAATGTCAGCCTATATTAACGTCTGCTACAATTTAGAACACTCCAGGCATCAGCTGAGGAACGTTGTCAAGTAAATCAATGTGACGTATGTAACCTGCCCTATGCACATGTTCAATAAGTTAAAATACGGGTACTGCACTTCTACTCTGCTTGCACAGGGTGGTGCTATTGGCTTGGACCCCAGTTTCATCAACTACTGCAGGGTTTCCCAAACTCGGTCCTGGGGCCCCCACTGGGTGCACGTTTTGGTTTTTGCCCTAGCACTTCAACTGATTGAAATTAAAGCTTGATGAGTTGGTTATTTGAATCAGCTGTGTATTGCTAGGGCAAAAACCAAAACATGCACGGGGGGAGAGAAACCCTGAACTGTATTGTACTACACATAACATACAAGTCACAAGAAGGCTGAAGCAATATTTTTTTTATTCAAGGTGAATCTTTACAATAGTACACCATCAATTCTTAATTTGACACTCCCCAATAGTCACTAGGAAAACCCGCTTTTTGTGACAAAGTACATAAGGCTTGGTCACATTGAAATCACTGAGAACTAGAGAGAAATACGACCGCAAACTGGAAGAGACATTACATCCAAAATAATCAATTTTCCCAGTCCTCATATTATATTGCACAGTGCAGTTGCTACATGCCAAACTAGTGTAGCATAAAATCAAAAGCAAATAAAAATAATAAAGCCACAGAAACTACACATATTAAAACGGAAACACTTCCAATATAGCAATCAAGTCTATATGCTGTGTTTACGCGTATTCCCCAATAACTTGAAGTGTAATACAACTTATACTAACAGGTGAAATAACTGCAAACAAGATCCAAAGCAATCAAACCAAGTGGAAAGGATTGAAGACTAATACAGTAGCATATTGGACAATACAAAGACCCTGAATTAATTATATAGCAAGTCATAAAATACATTAGTTGCAGTATAGACTGTTACGTGACAACCTTGGACCTAATCTTTGTGTATGTGGGTTGTTAAAGCAAATACCAACAAGTGATCAATCAAAACGGATGCTGCTATATGGATGATTATCATATACAGAATAGAAATCTCTGTAGCCATCAAAAAATGCAACAAAAACATTGTCATGTCTGCAAACCCCCAAAATAATTCAACTCCACAAATACATTCACAGTGTATATAAAGCTTTGCATTTGTGCATGTCCAATAAGAGATAGAACTGTGTTGAGTGTTTGAAGTGTATAAAATATTCCCTGACTAAGAATAATTGTCTTTTTATATTCTGTAAAAAAGCTATATGGATTCTGACCATATGTTTAGGGTTGAGCATTGGGATTGAGTGATCTGAAGATAACAGCCAGCTCCCAGAAGAGCTCCTCAGCGAGAAGAATGCATTGTGTTTGTCAGCTCTACTAAGTTGTACACTTGAGTCCAAAAGCAGTGCTTTCTCACTTCGTGGCAAATGTGCCAAACATGAGGACTTGAACAGGCTGCAGAAATCCTTATAAAACATGAGGCTGCATAATCCTAACATCCTACTGCTCTGGTGGGAAAAACTCCACTCTGTTGAGGAGCATCCACATTTGACTCTACTGCCAGCCCTTGCCTCTGCAGGAGAGGGGACTGACTAGGGGTCATGGAGTTATCAACCAACAGTTCTTCTCTTGACCACAATTTGAAAAGGCACTAGTTGTAGACACTGTCAGAATGAGAAAAATGAAATTTGTGTGTCTGGAGTTGGGGGGGGGGGGGGGGGCTAGTGAGTAAACAGATTAAATCTATCGCGGCCCACAATGTAATGAAAGACTACAAAAGGGCTAGCAAGATTTGAAAGGGGAAAATACAATCTGTCATCATTTGACAGTTGCCCTTGTTTGGATTAATTAGTTATGACAGAAAAAAATAAAAATCACACCCATATGCCTCAATCGATACATTATGAATAGGTAAGAATAATCAGTAGAAAATCTGTCACAATCCACTTTAGATACAAAAAGTGGGTTCAGAAAATGTTCATAGGCTTAAAATAGATGGCTAGAAAAATCATATAGTCAAACAGTTTATAGACCATGGCAATTTCATGAACTGTGTGGGATTTTGCCCCAACCCGAACCTGATGAGCTTATTGAAAGTTTAACAAGTGCTTACTGATGTGTTTCATAACAAATATTACATGTGTGAAGGCGTCTCTATAGCCCAATGTAAAGATGAGGACCAAATAGAGGTGTTGCAGTAAATACATCTGTATGGTAATATAGAAATTTCTATCAATAATGTGAATAATCTTTAGGCTTTTCAGGATGTTAACAGACCAATAACTAAAATCGACAACACAATTACTGTATGCAATGAACCCAACCTATAATTAAAAAGATAAAATACTGATGCTATATGCACACAAACAAAACAAAAAATAAAAACACTTAATTCTATTACTTGCAATACAGTAGTTCCAATCACACTTCAAACATCAAAGCAAATATACTGAGGCACTAACAAGTCTTAATGCCATTCAGTATACTCTATACTCAAATAAAACCCACTTCCAATATATGGTAATTAGAACTATACAAAAGTAAGAATGCAGAGTAAGAACTAAATTAATCCCCTAAATTCACAGCTATTTTGAAGTGGCAATCAGTACATAGCAGCTTATCTATGATGCATTCAAGATATGATATAACTTGCCCAAAATGCTTAAAATAAACCTATTTTAAATATATATTTTCTTAATATATTCCATCTTCATGACTACAGTATACTTGAAGACAATCGGAAAAGAAAGAGTAGCTACCTTGCTTAGGATGAATTACAGTCTTTGGTGCTGAAAAAGCCTTTTCATTTGAAAGTAAGAAAATACAAAAATCTAATGCACACGCTAGCAATTACAAACAATTCACACAAAATATATTTCCTCCCTGACAGAA